AAATAACGCCGAGTGCTATTATTTGCGGTTGTTGCTGCATACAATCAAAGGGCCGACATCATTTCTTGCATTGAAAACCATCGACGGAGTAGAATACCAAACGTATAGAGAAGCGTGCTTTAAACTGGGCTTACTTGAGAATGATCAGAATTGGACCACAACTCTGACCGAAGCATCACTCACGTGCCATCCAAGCAAATACGAACTTTGTTTGCGATAATTTTAACAACATGCGCACCATCGAATCCTCGACAACTGTGGGAAATGCATCGTGAAAGCCTCAGTGAAGATATTCTAAGACAAGCACGTGCAAGCGATCCAAATCAGGAATATTCGGATGACATTTTCTATGAAGCTTTAATATTAAAGGAGGACTTATGCATGTCAATCAACAACAAAGCTCTTTGTCGACTCGGTATGCCAGCACCGACACGAGATAGAAATGCTGTACGAGACAGAGACTTGATGCGAGAACAGCAGTTTGATGCAAATCAGCTTGAACGATTTGTGCAAACGCAAAAAGGGTTGTTAGTTGCTGATCAGAAAAAAGCTTATGACAAAATCATGCAACGTGTAACCAAAGCAGATGGCGGAATTATCTTCCTAGATGCTCCAGGAGGTACCGGCAAAACTTTCCTCATCAATTTAATATTGGCGTCAGTTCGAATGCGAAATGGGATTGCAGTAGCAGTAGCATCATCGGGGATTGCATCAACACTACTTGATGGAGGACGTACAGCGCATTCATCACTTAAGCTTCCATTGAATTTTAACCAGACCGAAACACCTACATGCAGCATCAGCAAAAACTCTGGTATGGCCAAAGTCCTTAAAACGTGAAAAATTATAATTTGGGACGAATGCACCATGGCACATAAGAAATCGCTCGAAGCACTTGACCGAACTCTGCGAGATTTTCGTGGAAAAGACCAACCGATGGGAGGCGCTCTTATACTTCTTGCAGGTGATTTTCGTCAAACATTACCCGTTATACCACGATCAACGCCTGCAGACGTGCTGAACGCGTGCTTAAAGGCATCGCATCTGTGGAACTATGTCGAAAAAATTACGCTCACAACAAATATGCGAGTGCATTTGCTGCAAGATACGTCTGCCCAAATATTTTCAAAGCAACTTTTAGATATCGGAAACGGTGAAGTTCATATTGATCGCACAACAAATGAGATATCATTTCCGTCCAACTTTTGTCAAATGCAGCAGAGCATTCAAGACGTCATCGACAGAGTATTTCCGAACTTAACGATCAACTACCGAAATTCGGAATGGCTCCGCGAACGTGCAATTTTAGCTCCGAAGAACGATGATGTTAGTAAAATAAACGGTCAAATTCAATTGAAAATTCCAGGAGAAGCAGTCGAATATAAATCGATTGATACAGTAATGGACAAAGATCAAGCTGTTAATTACCCAACTGAATTTCTTAATTCTTTGGAGCCACCTGGAATGCCTCCTCATTCATTGGCGTTAAAAGTTGGATCACCAGTGATGCTTATTCGGAACTTGAACGCGCCAAAACTGTGCAACGGAACCAGAGTGATAATAAAAAAATTAACACCGAATTTGATCGAGGCAACAATCATCAGCGGTAAATTCAAAGGCGAAGATGTGCTGATTCCACGTATACTGATGATTTCCAACGATTTACCGTTCGAATTCAAGCGGCTTCAATTTCCTTTGCGTCTTGCCTTTGCTATAACTATAAATAAAGCACAAGGGCAATCATTAACTATCGCGGGTTTGGATTTGAAAAATTCGTGCTTTTCACATGGCCAATTATACGTCGACTGTCAAATGGAAAAACTAAAAATATTGTTTATCCCTTAGCATTAAGGTAAATAAAAAGGTATTCAATTTCAAAACTCTAAATACATGTGTTTTTCTTTGGCGTAGCAACGCGCGCCGGGTATT